CATACACTATTTTGAAATCTTCTTTTAAACATTAATATATAGCATTTACACGTCATTTTAAAAGATGAAGACACTGAGGGAATGGTGAGCAGTAAGATTTGAGCTCTGCCTATTCATTATTGTATAAAGCTTTTTAAGTTTCATTATTTTGAAATTTTTAGTGCCATTCTGATTTATGTTCCCATTGTTTTCACACTTACTCTTTCCAGAAAATATTTAGGGTGGTTTCAGTCTACTTTCTTCCAAATGGGTATAACAGAGAGGAAAGCAAAGTACTGAAATTCATGTTACGTATTCATTTTTTATACTAGACCTTTGCTTTATAAACAATAGGTAAGTTTTAACACATTAGGAAATCGTACTAGAAAGATTTATTTTGTAACAAAAAAAGCCCTTTAGAATGTAAATAGCAACCCACCCTTAATTAACTGTTGTCAGTACACATTTTTCAAAAAACGTGTTCACAAGTCTACCAACTTATGTATTCTTAGACAAGAGTTCCGATTTTATTACTCAACGCTCCCTCAGTGTCTAAAACTGTCCCTGATCCATTGTATATTCTCTGTAAACCCTTGTGGAGCTGAAATGAATAAAAGGGAATCAATTCCAAATATTCTAATATTATCAATGTATGTTGCATTGTGATTTCAAATAGCAAATAGGAGTAAGAAGCAGTAATGGTTAAGAGTTTTTGTTTCTGATCCATGGGGCTAATTTTCAAAGCCCTATGAAGGTTATGTGACATAATTTTAGTCTAATTTTTTAGCACAGTGCTTGAACCCATAGTAAATGTTACATCAATGTTAGCTTTTAGTACTTTGGGCTGTTTCTTTCTATCTATCTGTATATTATTTTAAAAATAAGAACGTATTTTTTTTTTCTAAGGACTTTCAGATTTTTCAAACAGAAATAAGCTACTTCTGAGATTATATATGAAATAACAACTTGGTAGGGAGAATAAAATTTGTTAGATAACAATTATGTATAATCATTACTTTACATTTCCAATATTAACCTAATAGTCCAATATCTTATTCACTCGAAATATTTATTGGGATCATATTTTAAAATAAGCAGTGCTATACAGTCATAAATATAATTTATAATTCTTTCCCTGGCATTTTTACTTCTGAGCCCTTCAAGCATTCAGCAAGTATAAAATGAACCTTTTTAATGAATGAGCAATTAGAAGCATCAAAGGATGAAGCCTGACTTTTTCTCTGCATGTGGAAGATGGATTAAAATGGCTGAATCACTGTGGCTAGTTTATATCCTACTCTGATAGAATCTCAGAAAATTTTTATCAGCTGCATCAAGACAGGTTCATAAACAAGTCCAATAATATGAATTCAGTATCACAAGCACTGAACAATGGAATCCTCTACACCAGCACTACCCATAAGAACATAACAGGAGTCGCATATATAACTTTATGTTTTCTCGTAGCTGCATTAAAAAATGAAAAGAGAGGTGAAATTAATCTTACTTAATTATGTTTATTAATGTATTAATTTATATTTATTAATTTTATTTAACTCAGGATTTTGAGACTATTATCATTTAACATGCGATCAATATAAAAAGTATTAACAAGGTATTTTACATTTTTTTTTCATTCCAAGTCTCAGAAGTTTGGCATATAGTTTATATTCATAACACATTTCAATGGGGACTGGCCACATTTCAAGTACTTCATAAGGTTGTGTGGCCAGTGACCACCATACTGAAGAGTGCCACTGTACTCATTTCTATTTTGCCAAGATAAGAGGCACCAGAGAGTGATAATGTGTTGGAGGAAAGACAAAGATCAGGCTGGAGTCTTAGAATGTTCTGCGCCTGGCTCTGTGATGTTTGATATTGATAAAACTATGAAAGAGTGATTGAGTTTCTCTGGGTCTAAATTTCTAGTCTTTATATTGAGAATGGTTAATAACTACCACACTCCTCTCAGGAGGCTGGGGGTGGGGAGAATAAATAAGAAATTGTATATAAAAGTGTTCCATTAGATCATACAGCACCATACACATGTAAGACATTATTACCTCTTTTATTGTAGATTTGCCATAATGTCTTGCCCAAGGCCACATTCCAAGTTGGTGGGAGAATCAAGGATAGAATCTAGGATTCTGACTTCTAGCCATCTGCTTCAGTTAAAGGCTATTCATACCAAATGACTTATATAGTTTTTAACTTTGAAAAAAGTCATTTTATTAAAAAAAAGAAAAAAAGAGAATGGCAGTAAGAAGTGAATTCCATATTGAACAGTTAGGGTCTTTTTTGGCAAATGTCATGTTCTATAGTAAAATTATACATACAGGATATTTATATACTTATATACTCAGAATTACAGCCATCAAGGATTGGAGTTTATTGCTGTCATATAATATAAAAATTCATGTTCTTCAAAGCTTCAAACAACTTTTAAATTGAACTGTGGTTTCCCTACTCTATTTATCTCCAAAATATAGTACAGCCACAAGAAAGCCCTTCCATAGTGGGCTTGATTAATAAAACAGATATGGATCAATTCAGCAGGTTTTCCATAGATATTTTTGGTTACAGATGTAGCTCATTAATTCCCATGTGTGAGACACTACCTCTCTAGTGTGAATCCAAGAGACACATTAGTGTTGAATACAACTGGGAATAAGTCAGTTCAACCCATACATAGTGCTTCCTGTGTGTATGGTACATTAGATATTTTAATGATCAAAGAAAGTTTGTTTCTATGATAATTGTCACACATACATGTGATTTAACTTGAGGACAATATGAAATCTGTCTACCAAAATGTCTATGCTAGGTGCATGAGGGATCTATATTTTAGGAAGGTAGAAAGATGATCAGAAAGGAAATTCTAGATTTCTCAATTACTCAATTCTAGATTACTTAACATTACATTCTGTACTTTTAGAGGGTACATGGAGGATTAGTTGGGATTTGTTTTCATCTCCTTAACTGGATGCCTATTATGGTATTCATATTTGAATTTTTTGATCATTGTATACATTTGTGTCAAGTGAACTTCATAGAACTTAAGAATGAAATAAAATATTTAGAGTCTTATACCACATGAAAATAAACATAACCCATGTTTATTTTCACAGAGAAAAAGACATATTTAAAAAGTTAATTATTCTTTTTTTTTAATTATTATTTTTTCAATGAAAATTCTTTAAAATAATTTTCAGCAGGTTATTTTCATCAGACAACTATCATATACAAACTTCAAGCCTGTCAGAATTGATGACCAGGTTGAAGGAACATAATTTTTATTTTCACCTGCTGAATCATTGCTGTTGACTATTGAATAAAATCATTTATTGAGAAACATTTACATTTTATTGCTTTTGCACCTTAGTTTAAAAACAAAGAGCTTAATTTTTTAAAAGTCCAATAAAATGCATTTTTGATATTTCCACCATAACTTTACAAGCAATTCCTCTCCTCTGCCTTGTAATAACCACCTTCTGCATTTTTATGATTTAGTTTAACATTATTATAGTAATTTTTTACTGGGTGAGCCCATCAATGCCCTTGGCAGCAAGATTTTGTTACAAGAAATCCAGAAGCTGAGCCTGTCATGGTTGCAACAATTACAATAATTTCTTTGGATTGAGTTCAGAGCCTTATCCTGACATTAAGAAAGTAATCCATGTCCTGTATCTTTCACCAGCTTCTTCAAAATCCTAGATCAGCTTGAGTTCTACGACCTGTTGCTTAAATAAGCATGTATTTTTTTTTAAATTTAATGGTCCTGTATTATAAATATTTCATTTGGAGAACATCTAGCTCTGATGGAATCCTGCCAAGATAATTGGTGGTACCTATATTAAAAATGTAATGCCTTTATAAAATCATTAATATATTCACATTTCTCTAGGAGCTCTGAGTGGATTCACTCTAGACAGGATGTGGCCATGTGGCATTAGTTGGGCTAGATGCTATGCTTGTCTTGTTCAGGTGCACTCTCAGCAAGAACACAAGAATCTGAGGAATCTTAGCAATTCATTCCTTCAATAATGAAATAAGATTAAATGGACTATAAAAGCCATTGTACTATTATATATTAGGAAATATTGAGCCGTGTGTCCAAAAGTCACACTTAGGAGCAGGCAATAGTAATAAGCATAGGATGGCTGTGGATACTATGAGATAATGTCTACTTGTCAGAAATGGATGGTATGTTGTGGTTTTTTTTTTTCCATCAAAGTTCAAAAGTTAATGATGTACTTTATATTTTTATTGCTTTTACTGAGACATCAATTAAGGCATAAAAGAGATTCTGGCATGCTGTTATTATTTTTCACTGTGCATATATTCAATATCACATGTGAATAAAGCCATACTTGTTATATCATTCTCTGTTTCATACATCCTAGATTGTCTCTAGGAAAATTTAGTACATATCACTTCAGTCATCTGAAAGGAATCATTTGTTCATTATAGCTCATAACTTAAAACTATAAAATATCAGCCGGAAAAAAATTGGCCCAATTAAGAGAAATATGATAATGGTAGAAAAATACATATAGACATGTCTGGGAGATGATAAGATTATTTTAATTTTCCCATTTGCACTGGAATTATTTATTTAACAAATCTCCAGATCTTTTATTACTTAAAATCCTCTGCTGAATCATGAAAAGAAGCTTAAGTTAGCAATTTTCCTTTGCAAATTCTAGCTGCTAGCATCTGGTGAACACTTGGATACCTAGTCAGGTCCTATGGAAATGATTATTTTAAGACTCAATTTCAACATGCCTGGACTTAAAAATCAGCGAGGATCACACTCTGCACAGAATTTTACTATAGGGGATTTAAAAACCTGATATTAGTAGCTATGGTCTGAGGCTTTTGTAGAGGTGTAGATAGGATGGGAGATAGAATGTCTAGGAAGGCTGGACACCTGTCTGTCAAATGCCAGTATGCTTCTGGACAGAGATTGGCTGCTTCACCAGTGGACCACCCCAAGGCTGGGCTCCAGCCCCCACACTTACATTTAGACTTGGCTGGCCTGTGGAATCGAGGACCAAAGTCCCTGCTTATGCCTTGCTGTGGCACTCCTGGGGCTGGCTTCTGTCTCTTTGCCCGATGCTCCTCTACTTCTAGAACAGCTTCTAAAGTAGAAAAGAGAGGACTCTTTTTACTCAGTTGGAAAGACAATAAAAGGCAGAATTACTATCAAAGTTTCTGGGATCATAGGAAAAATTACATGATAAGAATGTATAAATACGTACTTCATTAAAAATGCTATTATATATCAAAAATTTAAGTGTGCGTTTAGGATATAAGAGAGATACTTTTATGCTGAATAGGAGTGTATATTTTTCATTTCTGTGTAACCAAGTATGCATTTATTTATTTTCTGTACATATATTGCTATAGTTTGGATCCAGAATGTACCCCAGTTGAGTCAAGGCTGTGGGGCTATTGGGAAGTGGAACATTTAGCAGGTAAGGCCTAGTGGAAGGAAGTGAGGTCATTGTGAGGCATGCTCTTGAAGGGGATATTGGAACCCAGGCCCCTCCTTTCTCTCTCTCTAGCTTCCTTGCTGCCATGAGGTTGGTGAGCAGCCTCCTCTGCCACTCACTTCTGCCATGATGCACTGTGCTGCCACTGGCCCAAAATAACAAGGTCAAATGACCATGGACGGAAAGCTCTGAAGCCATGAACTAAAATAAAATGTTTCCTCTTTTTAAGTTGATTATTACTGTTTTTTTTTTTTTTGATACAGTATAGCAAGCTGACTGATACATAGGTTATATATAGTTTTTGTCCAAATAGACAATGTATTGCATATCTTTTTATGTACTAAAGCTTCACTAATTCAATTCTCATTAATATAGATTTGAGATAATTTTATAAAATATTTGGACTTTTGTTATACAGGAAGTACATGTATGAGGAAGTAATACTTCAGGAAGAAAAGCTAGGTTTGTGTAAAAAAAGTGAGCTTTTTTGAGCAATACATTTTCTACCAAATTTTTAAACAATAGTATTTGAGTTACACATTATTCTTAGTTATTTACCAAGTCAGAATTGATAGAACTTTAATTTGGCAACATTTTTAGGTTTTAGTTTGAGTTTTGATACCGTTTAACTACTTGAATATGCTTTATAAATTTTTTATCATCTTGAGTTTTTAGGAAACATTATGTGATTTCTCTCTATTTGAACTGAATTTCAGAAATTTACACATATATTGTTATAGTTACTTGTGTGTGAAGTAACAGACATTTCCTATTTTTATTTTTATTTTTTGGTGTGTTTCACAGAAACTTGCTTAGGAAATTTTCATATTTATTGTTTAAAACAGATTTAAGCAGGAACAACCTTAGACATTGAGGTAAATAAAAAGATTTGAAAGAAAGTGTTTGTTAAATTAAGAAATGAGTGCAGAATTGAGTATCCAATTTAGAGTTTTAGTAGTGTGATATAAGTGACATATTCTAGAGTAGTACTGTCCAATAAAACTTTCTGGAATAATGCAAATTTTCTATATTTATACTGTTCAATATGGTAGTCACTTGTCACATATTGCTTTTGATCTCTTGAAATGTGGCTACTGTGACTGAAGAACTGAAATTTCACTTCTTTAATTTTAATTAATTCTAACTAAACTATAGAACTAGTGGCTAGTGTCTATCACATTGGAGAGAAATGTTCTAGAGTTTCTCTGTATTTGATACTCAACACAAAAATGGATGTCTTCTATCTGCTAAATATCTATAAAACAGAAGTATCCCCAAAGTCAAGTCCTACCCTTGTATTCTGACATGTGGCCTTCACTATGGAGCCTGCATGGTGTTTGTTTAGGCCCAAAGGGTAGAGCCAGCAGCATTCTGAACTTTAGCTCAACTTGTGGATATTCACACATAAGTAAAGTTTGGGTGAGCCATAGGTGATTTGAGACTCTTCCATTTCTGGAAAGCCATGGGATCTCAGATTATCTCTAGTAATGAAGTTTTATAACTAAAGGGACTCAAAAGCTTGGCTTTTCCCATTCACTGCTCACATAGTATGATTCTGCAATCAGAAATAGATATGAAAATGATACCAATGAAAAAGAAACCCTCCAAATTCTGATTGTATATCAGGAATGGGATGATAAATATTTTTGTGGCTCTTGATGTACCATTCTTCAATGAATCTTTCTTGAGAACCCACCAGGTATAAGGTACAATGCTTAGTACTTGTACTAAAGCTTCACTAATAGAATGTATTAAAGAAATTGGACACAGCTCCTGCTCTCATTGTGAATAATTGTATTAGATCATAATATTTTTTCCAAAGTTGTCTTCTGAAATTTATTATTTCCTTTTGGTTATGGTAAAAAGACAAGAGGAGAAATATACACAGTAAAAAGAAGTTCTAAAGATTATTATTTTGTGCATGCTATACACCTAATGCAATTTACTTCTCTCTGAACTACTTTCAGAGATACACACAGAGGTAGATTGTTTTTAAAATGCAACATTGGAAGCACAGGAAATCAGAGAGACCTCAGCTGCCATTTTTAAACCTTGAGACTAGTAATATTGTTAAGCATTTATTAAATATTTGACACATATGTTTAAAAGATGTTCTTTCCTCTCTATCATCCAGAAAAATGTCCTTCAAAATAATTACGCATAAAAGATTTTTTGGTTGCTATTAATGTAATGACGCTCTTTTTTAAAAAACTAGACCATTCATAACACTGTAGGAAAAAGTGCTACAATCACTGTTTATGAAATGAATCAAATTATTCAACATCTAAGCATCATTGCAAGACTTGAAGGACACTACTGGCTGCACAGGCAATATGCAACTCAGTATTTTTCAAAGGATGAACCAGAAATGTGGCAAAGTACTAAGCAAGAACTAGTTAGTTAGATTTCCTCCTCTTCACACAGCAATTGCATAATTAAATGAATGGTCTAATCTGCATTTATTAGATGAATCTTCAAATGTGTCATTGATAAAAAAATTAGGGATGAAAAAATTAAAAATTAAGTTAAATGAATGAAGCCACAATATCTAGGATCTAAAGTCAGAAGAATTTAAATATATTAGTTGAAGGAATATTGTCCTTGATTTTTGTGGACACTTTGCAAATGAAAGCTTAACACCAAAACCCAAACAACCCAGTCAATAAATGGACTAAGGAACTGAATAGAAACTTCACAGAAGAAGAAATATAATCTGTTAATAAATACATGAAAAAATGTTCAACATCTCTAGCAATTAGAGAAATGCAAATCAAAACTATTCTAAGCTTTCATCTCACTCCAGCCAATTATCAAGAATACAAGCAATAATAAGTGTCAACAAGGAAGTGGGGAAAAAGATACACTCATACATTGCTGGTGGGACTGCCAATTGGTGCAATTGCTCTGGAAAGCAGTATAGATATTCCTCAGAAAACTGGGAATGGAACTCTCTTTTGACCCAGCTATCCCACTCCTTGGTTTATATCCAAAGGACTTAAAACAGCATACTACAGTGACACAGCCACATCATTGTTTATAGCAGCTCAATTCACAATAGATAAATTATAGAACCAACCTAGATGCCCTTCAACAGATGAATGGATAAAGAAACTGTGATATGTATACACAAGGGAATATTACTCAGCCTTAAAGAAGAATAAAATTACGGCATTTACAGGTAAATGGATGGAGCTGGAGAATAGCATGCTAAGTGAAATAAGCCAAACTCAAGAAACCAAAGGCTGAATCTTTTCTCTAGTAAGTGGATGCTGATTGATAATGGGGGAGGGGTAGGGAAAAATGGAGGAACTTTGGATTGGGCAGGGGGGAGAAAGGGGAGGGGAGGACAGTGAAATGATACAGATATTATTAGTCTATATATATGTATGATTATATGACTGGTGTGACTCTGCACCATGTACAGCCAGAGGAGTGAGAAGTATGCTTCATTTGTGTACAGTGTGCCAAAATGCATTCTATAGTCATGTATAACTAATTAGAACAAATTAAAAAAATGAAGTACAAAGCAATGAAAGCAACCACAAAGGAAAAAAAGAGATAAATTTATATAAATACTTAAAAAATTTCATATAAAAATCACCATGAACAAAATTGAAAGGTGAAGGGGAATTGTTTCTTTCTTTTAAAGATGGCCAAGAGTTCTTTGACTCGCCTCTGTGTTCCTTATCATTGAATCTGGGAGAGCTTATAACTGCTTTGACCAATGTAGCTCAGTGGAGGAGGCAGTGTAACTTCTGAAGCTGAGTGATAAATGCCCATTAAGCTGCTTCCTTGTTGTAATGCTGTTTTTTGAGCCCTTACTTCTTACTCTAAGTAAGAAGTCTGACTACCTTAAAACCACCATCCAGGAGAAGTCACATGTAAGTGCTCCCATTGACAATACCAGCAAAGCTCAGGTTTCCATCTATCCCTGTTAGGGTGTTAGGACCATTTGGGGCCCTAGAGATTAGCCATTTTACCAGGTGAGTAAGCCATGAGAGCAGAAAAAAGCTCCTAGATCTTCCTGAATTCTCAATCCATAAAATTGTGAGGTAAAGTAAATTTTTGTTGTTTTAAACTACTAAACTTAGATGTGGTTTGTTATATAGCAAAGGTAACTAAAGCATACCCTCTTATATGTATATTTTTACAAAAATTAAAAACTTGAATGTAAAAGACATCCTGAGAAATTATTGGCAAAAGTTGAAATAGTGTTAATATCCTTTTCATAAAAGAGAAAAACATCAATACTATATAGTAAAGTTGGAATTTAAGTGAACAGATAATTTAAAAAAGGAGAAATAAATAAAGCTAATAAGCATGTAAGAAAGCATTTAACCTCAGTAGTAATGAAGACAATGAAAATTTAATGATGAAGTTAAGATTTTGGTCATCAGATTGGCAAAGAAGAAAAAAATTATTTAATTTGGTTTGGGTTAAGTGAGAGTGTAAACTGCAAATTTTCTGTAAAATAAATAATGTTATATATTCAGACCTTTAAAAATATCTATTTTCCTTGATGATTCTAGGAATTTAGAAATTCAGGTCATGAAGTAACCAGAAATAAGATAAAATAATAGGGTGTTATTACAGTGCTACTTATGGGAGCAAAATACAAAAACAAACTTACTGTCTGTCAATCAAGA